AACAAATTTGATTTCTTACCGTATCTTAACTGTGCTGCAGTAGGTGGTGCAATTTCCAGCTGCCCTGAAAAAGAAGAGAAGGAGAAGAGAAAATGTATTATAAAGTATCTGCATTCCCTGGCCTGTTTTTCTATGGAGGGGAAAAGTCAGCATAAATGTCAGACAGTTCTTAAATGGCAAAGCCTATCAGTCACGACCTTATGGATACAGAGAAAATATGTAGGAAAATGGGAGAGAGGGAGAACATTTTAGCAATGTGTCAGGGGTGATGAAAGGGAGTAAGAGAGCTGAAGAGGAGCAAAGAGCATCTCCCTCGTTGCCACCTCCCCTAAGCGACACACGGATGAGGACAAAAGTGACGTCAGGAAATGATAATTCTGCTGCCAATCAGGCCTCAGAGGAGGCCTGCCAGCAAACTGATTATAATTGGAATGTGTGTGTGTGTACATAGTGACAAACGGACACAGAGAAAGGAAGGAAGGGAGAGAAGGACATCATCCGAAAAATAATGTAGATGGAAATAAAATGACTTTTTCTACATTGTGACACTAAAGTTACAGGGAAACGGTGAAGTTAAAGAGGTGCAACATCGATCTGCTATAAGAGGTTGCAGAATAAAATAAGTGTCAGCCTGGATGTGCAACATTAACACAACACAGGACTCTGCTGTAGAGAGAGATGATTACATTGGTTTTAAGGCTTTAGACAGAAGATCATTTCCTTTGCAGGTACTGTGAAATTTAATTTGTTTTACTGAGGTCAGAGGAAATGTTAGTCCACATTATGAAATCTGTTCTGCTCTCAGGTGTTATTGCACCTCTGCAGGGTAAACCAGGCTGGAGCAGATTTAGCTTACTGGTGTCAAAGGAGTCTGTCTTCATTACTACTAACACCCAGATATACAAGCATGCATTCATTCATATACACACCTACACCTCTCATGCACAATTCCCACTGAGACTGCTACAAGTTAGAGTGAGAGCAAGTGCCGAATACAAATTTGCTTTCTGGGAGGGGAACTGGTTATGCCCATTAGTGAATTCTGTCAATGACTAGCTATTTTGAATTCAGCAATTTTGTTTTTCATCTGGAATAAATTGTGACACTGCAATCACCTACATTAGCAATGAAACCTGGCAAAATTGTCCACTTTTTAAAATGAAAAATTCAGGCTAAAACAAAAAGTATTTCTTTCTCCCATCCTGTCTACCGTCTTCATCCATTTCCATCTCCTCACTTCCTCCCTTCCATTCAGGACTCGGCATCATGTTACAAGCTTCATTCCACAGTCTTCAGTTCACCTCCATCTCATGTTGCTGACACAACAACAGACAATTGTTCGCCTCAATGTCAGCGTCAGTGTCACATTCACACAGATGCACACACACCATAACAACTATATATTAATCATCAGTAATCTGTCATTCCCTCCAGCCTTTGTAGCACCTTGTGCATAATGAAATAATAATAATGAAATATTGCCTCTTTCCAACTCCCTGGTGAGCATTGTTCAAGGTTTTATCTCATTTCACAGGTTTTGAAAAATCCTGCCAGCTACAAAAGCATTAACTATGTAGAGATGAAGATCCTGCCCACAGAAGATGGATGGCTTGGGCAATTAGTTAGCAGAACCCATTTCTTTCCATTTATCACTCATGCAGGGGTTGTTTTAGATTTAATTAAAGGCTTTCAATGATGCTGTTGTGCTAAACGTTGGCAGTGTGCTGTTGCCTCAACCAACAAACATTTTCTCACTGAAACCTGCCTCTAAACAGCTGATAGAGAAATATTCTCAGCTGTCACAGGCTTTGGAAATTAGATAACTTAGATCAATCACTAACCAGTGGTACCATACTCAGGGTCAACAAAGATCTTTGATCCCCTCAGGGTTACCCAAACTTTAGAATAAGGATATATTGTTTTAGTTTGTTTTGGAAAGTTCATAAACAGAGTTGAGTCAACAAATAATTCTATTTTTAAAAATATATAAAAAACTAAGTTGATTATTCCCTTCTTCTTAATGTTCATTCCTAATAATCTCTAACCATTGTGATGTATGAATCAGATGAGTGAATCCTATATAACTGAGGCGAGGGTAACTTTACTCCCCAGACAACATGTGTTTTAGAAGAACCTTCTCCACATCAATTAGGCATTCTTGGACTTATGTTATCAACCCAAGAGTAATTAATCATTGGACTACTTGTACTATTTGATTGGACACTCTGAGCTCCTCTATGGCACATGGTTTAACATAAATAATCTGGGTTTGTTTAGGCTACGATACCTATGGGCTGACAGCATCGTCATATGTTGACATACTAGTCACTCATAAGAAATGTCTTAACTTCAGGGCTGTATATTAACACCGTTCCACGCTTGAGTTCACTTGACGACTAAAGCAGATAATTCCATTTAGGGTGCTTCTCCTTCTCTCTATAATTTATGCTGTTACAAAATATTATATATTTTTATCATCCATATTTGTTTAAATGGTGATTTCGAGTTAATAAACAGCATAAATAATGTTTTTTTAGGTAGCAGATAGGCTACAATGGCTGCATGCTGTTGAACAATGCTATAATACAGGCCTGTGATCAATCCAATAAATTGTTCTAATCTGCCCCATTTCGATGTGACAGAAATAATGCAATACATCATTGTGTCCCAAATCATAAGCTTGTTGCTGCTATATTTTCCCCATCACTTAAAACAAAATGAGGCCAAATGAAAATGCAGCTGAGTCACTGTCTCATCACCCGTCACGTGAAAAAAACCCATTAACCAGAAACAGAGTCCCTCGAAGATTTTTCTCCCCCTATCCACTGGGCTTTATCCAGGCATTTATTGGAACTGCGATAGCTGACATGACTGTCTATTGGTCTCAGAATACCTCTGTAGAAAGTATTGATTGCACGGTGCCTTAAACGGCCCTGAGCTGCTGTTGCAAGAAAATTCAGTTCCAACAGACAGGAGTGGTGCAAACATTTAATGGGCAGTGATAAGCTGCTAAACATGAGCATCCTTAAATACCAAAGCAGCCATGTTTCATTTTTCTCAAGCCTTTTATTTTGTATTCTCCTACTGCAGAGTCACCCGTACAGCACGCATCAGGCATCTGATAAAGACTGTGTTTACAGATAAACAGAAAATGCGATGTGTCACCATTTTGGGCACAGAGCTTAACTGTTAATCGCCAAGTCAGCTACAAAACGTCTCTGAAGCATTTATTACACACAGCCTACAAAATACCTAACAGGCCTGTTATCTGGTAGGCTAGTCAAATGTCTTTAAACTGAGAATTATACGAAACACACACAAACCAGGCTGCGTCTAGTAAGCCTTTTCACACAAGAGGACACAGATGAACAATACTAAGAGTCTAAAGCAATGCTAGCAGCTCTGTAAGGCTGTACTTTAAGCACAGTGGCGCTTTGAGCTAAATGCTAGAATGAACATGCTCACAATGACAATGCTAACATGCTGATGTTAAGCAGATGTTCACCGTCTTAGTTTAGCCTGTTAGCATACCAACATTTGCTACTCATCACCAAGCGGCAGCCTGGTGAGAAACAAAGTCAACACGGAAGTAACAAAAACTGCAGTTCCTCTGATGGCCACTTGAGGCTGGCTACAGCAGAGATCGATCTCCATAAGGCCCCATATTAAAATGCCCAGCTTTACAGCAGAAATAAACATGTTTACAGCCTGGTACAAAAAAAAGTCTCAATAGCTAAATTCCCCGTTTATGACAACTGCACTGGGGGTGAATTTTTACATAACTCCACCATTATGATAAAGGCCACAGCCACTTTGAGTGACAGGTGGGTGCCAACACAGGTGGCTGTTTTCAAAAACCGGGCTTCATGCAGCCAACCTCAGCTCCATGCCTTTGCCCAATTTTGGATTAGCCAGGAGCCGTCAGAGTCAGGACTGCCAAGATGGCGACAGTCAGAGTCAACAGTACAGTCTATGTTTAGCACTAAACACTGAAGAGAATGTTGTTCTACAGGTTTGGTCATGAACCAAAATACTGGACAACTAAAACATTTATCTGATTATGGTGCTAGATGAAAAATCTAGCACCATAATATAATATAATTTAGCCTAAGGGGAACATGAATGTCCAACATTACCATTCATAGAGCCATGCCACTAGCAAGTCTGAAAACATAATCAAGTCATCTAATATTTAACTTCTGCATCTGACCATTAATGTGCTCTATCTTGCAGTCACTCCTAGCGGTGAAATATGAAACTCTATTCTCTCAGCCAGATAGCACTTACTCTAAAAGACTCACATTGAGGCTCTCAACCTCAACAGCTATCTACAAACATTTATATATTTGTGTGATGGTGGGTGAGAGTTCTACTTTCACTTGTTATGTGTTATTCCCTCCTCAGCTGCTTGCTGTTCTGAAAGTGTCTGTTTGAGGAGACAACCATTAACACTTGAGTTCTTCTTTGCTGTGATTGTTTAAAGCGAGATAAAAGTCACACTTTCTCGTCTTTGTTTTGTCAAGACAAATGGCTGGTTCCACACTTTGTCTCTTATTGCCAATATAGAAGGAAATGGAAGTGTGAATGGAGTTTTGGAAACTGTAGATACAGTAAGTTCGCGAAGGAACCCAAAAGCCAAGTTCTCTCACAAAGTGTCTATCGGTACGTACAGTCGCCTCAATAAAAGTGATCAATTGAGGCAATAAGATTTTCTGCAAATTCAGGTGTTGGTGTTACAGGCGGGGCAACCCACAAAAATGCAGGGACATTTTTCATCACTGGACATGCAGCAGTGCAAAGCAGTTTGTGTGTGTGTGTGTGTGTGTGTGTGTGTGTGTGTCTTTGTCTGGCAAATGTAAACTAAGAAGCATCCTTATTTTCCCCTCAGGATTTCATTGATTTTTGTGTTGCACACCTCCTTACAAACAAAGGGGTTTCTCATTATCAGAGCATGGTTTGATAAAACATGTGTGTGTGAGTGTATAAGCACGTGAATCTATATCATCATCATCATACCATCTAGATTTTCTGGCTGTATATGCTGGTATGTGTCAGCAAGTGTGT